ACTTGAAAAAAAAAGCAGGATGACAATTTATCTAAAAAAAAGTCAGGATAAAATAATAAAAAAAAAGGCAGGACCGAATAGAGTGAAAAATAAAAAGGAAGGAGAGAGATTACAACTAAATAAAAATGCAGGTCAAAATTTTTCATCCTAGCCCCCGTAAAAATCAAATAAGGGGAGGGTTGATGCCTTCAAACATGTTTTACCCCGCCACATCCTATATGTACCTGTCCCAAGTCAGGAGCCTGTAATTTAGTGTTTATTGTTTATTGCTGTTTTTTATATTTGTTTTTCGTTTATTTTTTGTATAGTTTGTTCTTGTGTTGTGCCGTTACACCACTGTCCCAGGTTAGGAGAGGTTTAGCTCCTTTAAACATGTTTATCCCCGCCACATTTTTTGATTCTTTAAGTGCCTGTCCGAAGTCAGGAGCCTGTAGTTCAGTGGTTGTTGTTGGTTCATGTCTGTCATATTTGTTTTTTGTAAATTATTTTGTTATAAATTAGGCCGTTAGTTATCTCTATTGAATTGTTTCATATTTTTCATGTCGGGGCCTTTTAATGATGACTATACAGTATGGATTTTTCTAATTGTTGAAGACCGTACGGTTACCTATATTTGCTTACATTAACTTCATTTTGGGCTTTGGTGGATGGTTGTCTCATTGGCAATCATACCACATCTCCATTTTTTTTCTATATTGACAACGCTACGACTAAGACTGAGTTACACGAACCTGACAAAAAATCGGAGTTGATCCCAGATGCTCCGAAACGTTAAGCAGATCCTGCTCCACATGTGGCACCCGTCGTGTTGCTAATGTAAGTACAAACCCGGTGAGTAGTCTAATTCGGTATGTCACATTCGGGGAAAAGAGGACGGGATTGTGAATACGACATTTGGAACATATCCGTCGTCATCTATGAAACAGATATTCCATAACGGTCAACCAACTCAATTACCCATAACTAGCAATAATACCACATCACCAACTTTGAAGAATTTTTATACGATGTTTGCTTTCTTATCGAGGACAAAACAGAGACAATACCAATACCAATTGAAATACAGAGAGACGGCTATTGAAAATGAAATATGACAAATATGACTCTTCTGGTGATGAGATGTATTGAAAACAAGAATATCTTTAATTCATTTTTAAATTATTAATATTGTTACAATTTTAGTAATATTATGCAGACGAAAAAATAATCCGGTAAGAATTTAGATAAAAAATACTTATTTATTTGTCATTTAGATATTTCAGACCATGGAAGTATTATATTGACAATTTAGTACTTAAGGATGTACTCGGGTCAGATTTATGAATTTTTGTCAGATGTTCGGACTTCTTGGTTTTTTTCCCTACGATACAGGGTAAAATATTTTGCCCCATATCACCCACTTTTCTTTTCATAGAAGACTTCAATAGATTTTTTTTCTTACGATTGAGACCCAAATAATGCCAATGCTAAATATAAGGTAAAGGTCCAAGTCAGCCTTTTCCCGCCATTTTGAAAAAATTAAATATCGCAAAAAGGAGTTCCATAACCTATCAATATTTTTAGCTTATTTTGTTTCTTACTAAAATAATGCAAATGCTAAATATAAGGTAAAGGTCCAAGTCAGCCTTTTCCCGCCATTTAAAAAAAATTAAATATCGCAAAAAGGAGTTCCATAACCTATCAATATTTTTAGCTTATTTTGTTCTTTACTAATGCTCTTCTGACATATAGTATCAACTTTAAATTCTAGATTTTTTTAATTTCACCTATTAACTACATCTTTAAATGTTCAGATCGATTAACGAATCAAACGCATTTTGTTAGTAAATTATAAAATGTGATTTTTTTACTACTTGCTGTATTTAGAATATTCTGTAATACAGTTATTTTAGCGATAGCTTAGTCATCGAGAAGTAAAAGGCTAATTAATTCATGTGTGCATAGAAAAAAAACCACTCTATTGACGATTCATTTCAAAATACTATTAACTAAAACGTAAAGCAATGACCTTTTATATCATTTACATGATTTTCTGTATTTAAGGTCATTGGATAATAATCATGATTTTAGTACGTCTTTGACTACTATTCCATAGCAAAGGTCTGAAACAGATAAAGCATTACGATTGCTTAGTGTTACCATACAGGCTAATCAATTGCACATTTAAAAGATATAGGTGATGTGAAGAACAAACATATAGCTGTAAAAATGGTCCTAATCAGTCTAAAGTTTTTTTATTTTTAGACTATTTCGTGTGGAACGTTGGCGAAAATTCCAATTCTCACAAATTGAGAATTTGTTTAAAATATATCTGAAACATTGTTTGATGTTATCTTATATAAATACTATTTAATGGAAAATGTCACGAAGGCGCGTTTGGAATTGCTATTTGATTTAACCTAAGGATGCAACATTTAAATAAGAACAAAATAAATGAATAAACAAATGTAACCAAAAAGCGTTTGGAAAAAATTAAACAAAAGAGCTGTACATCCCTTTGTTGAAATTTACGGTAAAGATACAGTTTTAAGCAAAAACATATAAATCACTTAAATAATGATGTTGTAGATTATTATAACAAAATTAGTTTACCATATGTTGATGCGGATGTTTTGGGGTAAGGGAGGGTAAGGATTAGGATGATAGCTTGTATGACTATTTAGGTCTCATATCAAACTTGGGACTTGATATTTGATGTTATGTTAGCTTTACAAAAAGTCATATCACATCGATAACGCCGATGTCGTTGGCAATCGCTTTATTTAGACATGTAAAGTATCTTTTCTAAAATACCTGCACAAATTGAAATAAAATGTGCCAAATGTTAATGAATATGTTCAAGCGACCTTTGCTTCTTTAAGCACTTTTTACTTGTCAGAGAAGCTCACAGTCCATGGAGAGAAAAAAATCGACCTTTGGCAGAAAACCTGGCAATTCTAGTCAATTACGGTTGATTTCGAACACACATCGCCACGAGCGGGATTCAAACTCACAACATCAGAGTTGACAGGCTTGTGATCGTAAATGAAAAACTATTACCACTCGGCCCCCGAAGTCCTTGACCTGTTAATTGTTACAATGGTCTTCAGGTCTCGTCGCATGCTTTCTAATATGAAAAAAAAACAACGCATATTTGTTTTGTTTGACGGTTTGACGTTCTTTCTAAGATCTGTTTCCCTCGTTAATGTCGTGATTTTTTTCTTGAAACTTTATATGTTGTTGCTAAGTAAGATTTTAGTTGATATATAATAATCTCAGGGTCGTCGACTACGCTTTTTAAAACTCCAAACTTACGACAAAACAGACTATGTTTCTTTCCTTATTGTTTTATTGTTAATTTTCATTTGTTGGACGATGGTGTTCCTTTAACACCGTCTTACGGTGTTTATATATCCTAACTCGTTCGCTATGCCCGTGTCTGCAATGACGTTTTTGGTTTCAATGAGCGTAATGTACGTTTTATTGGTAGCTTATTAAGTCAGGGATTTCGTTACTACAAATTACTCAAAACCTTTACTAAATTCTTCCATAGATACAACGATTCAGGTTGCAAGTTTGGCTGTACCCGTAGAAAATTTATTTGAGACGAGATAGCACATCATAATTTTTACGGTGATGTTGTTTACAGAGCCCGGAAAATCTAGATACGGTCCGAGCAAACTTACCAATCCTTTAAATAAACTTATTCTAAAATTTTACCAATTCAACACTGTAATTAGATCTTTGAATATTGTTTTTATTGGTATAAGTATTGATAAAACCAAACTAAATTTTATTGTAATACACATATGCACTTTCACGGTACTACGATCTGTCGATACTTATATTTTGGATTTGCATAATGTCATGTTTTTCTTTGACTATTAATGACGTCGTCTTTACACTAAATCCATTGGATGTTGGATGTGTACTGATTGAAATTTAGTCTTAGCTACATACTTTTTGTGTCTGTCCTAAGTAAGGTGCCTGTAGTTTAGTGATTGTCGTTGGTTCATGTCTGTCCTGTTTGTTTTTCGTAAATTGTTTTATTAAATATTAGTTTTCTCAATTGATTTGTTTCATATTTGTCATGTCGGGGTCTTTTATGGCCGACTATACGGTATGGGGTCTCCTCGTTCTGGTACGGTTGCCTATAACTGCTTACATCCACTTCATTTGAACTTTGGTGGATAGTCATTGGCAATCATGCAACATCTCTTTATTTTTATTCATAATAAATTGTGTTTTGTTTTCAATTAAGAATACGTATCACACCCACCCGATCTGAATGTGTCTAGTCTGCATAAAATGTGTACATCTGTTGATTTCCAAAATGTGCATACCTAAAAAAAAAAAATATTCCAAATTCGTTAATGTACTAAAGTCTATTACAAATAAGACAATTATAAGTAACGAATAGTTAACGAAAAAATGATATGTTGTCACACAGAAAACTATCGAATTTTACAATGTTAAACTGATATAAATGGTGATTTGCCTGAGTACTTATAATTGCAGTCCAATAGCAGTGGTTCATCTCCTTTCCTTTATTAAAGTTACTTTGCCTCAAAGGCTAGAATGAGAGCAATATTTTGCCTGGCTGTTTTACTCGACAATCGATTAAATGTGAAATTAGGTAAACACATTTAAAGATATATACAGAGAACAAATTAACTGAACTCGTTGTATTTATAAGTACTAAGGACTGAAGAAAGAGTGCTCCTTTTTCTCATTGTCTGATATCTTCATAAGCACTAAAATAATCCAGAACCATAGCCCACGTGATTTTGGGAGACTTTGAATGACATACCCTTATTAAAACTAAGACTTCAGATTAAAAGGGAAGATCTACGAATATCGATCTCAGCATGCATTCCTTGACTTTGTCAATTACTTTAATAAGTTTAACCTTATTAACATTCAGAACATTTCGTGAGATAATCTTGTAATTAGCTCATGTGAACGAAAGATATTTGTTTGTCACGTAGGTGAAATGAATGTTATATATATCTGGCAGAAACTGTTTCTACAGAAGTCACTTGATACGAACAGACAGACAGGTAAGCAAATAAATTTTACTTTTAATTTTATATTTGATGATTAATTATTTTCTGTATCAAAAATAACCTTTCTTTGATACTTGAAAATATATATGTACAGCTACACATTTGTGAATAAATGAGTTTGACAAATTTTCTTAAATTGTTTGAAAAAAAACATTAAACAGTTTAATTATGTAGAGTTTACATGTCGACCTCTTTTTGCTGTGCATTTATAAGTCTTTGTCAGAGCACTTTGTGTCTGAAAGTAATTAGTAACCTTATTGTGTAAGCTTTTTCATATATGCGTTATCCTAAAAGTCTATTCCATCTTTTTTAAGATGAAGAACATATGAAGTAATAGCTTCCAAATTAATCCGTCATAATCTATTTGTGGTCATTTGTTAATTTACCCAACTTACAACATATGATAAATTAATCTATGCTCATCTATAATAAATAACTGTAAGATGATTACTTTTTGGTCTGTGACGCAAGTAGAACACTTTTGATAGGCGATGCCGAGACAACAAGACATCCTTTTCCGTCAAGCATGACACATTTAATTAAGGCGTAAGGCAAAGATTTGTCTTTTCGCAACCTTAGAAATGTATGGGATAGCTCGTATACTTGCATATTACTTATCTTGCGAGCTAGCGCGTTAGCAATCCGTTTGTTGGTCTAGTACGAGGCAAACATCATATAAATATTTACATCAATACATTGAAATAAGGAGATGATGTATGATTGCCATTGAGACAACTATCCATAAAATTCCAAACGACGAAAATATGAACAATTTCAGGTCAACGGCCTTCAACGATGAGCAAAACCCATACCGTGTAGTTTAATTCCAGCTAACTTTGGAAAGCGCTGGTTTCATGTTGTAAGTAGTCTGTTTGTCATTGTGTACCTTCTTTTTAGATGTGTTCCGTTTAATTTCTTAGATTAATGCTAAGCTTACACGGTCGTTTGGTCATATCGTTAAGTAGTTTCACAATTATTATATTTATTCACGAGGCGGAATTGTTAAATTTGAGATAAATCATGTTTTCCTTGACAGTCTTCCCGAAATGCCGACATTTCAAATAACAATACATTCATTTCATGACAGGAAGGACCATTGAATAAATGTTTTACTTTTTATAGGAAACGTTTTTTTTTCCTTTTTTCCGAATTAGAGCACCGCCAAGTAAATAGCAAAAAGATGTTATATATGTGCATATTTTATATAATTGTGAAAAGCAGGCTTTATTAACGATCTTAAGTTAGTAATATTTTTGAAAGAAAGTATAAATGGTGTAACCAATAACTAATTACCTTATCTCCAAAGTATTGAAAATTACTATCCATCTAGTTTTTATTTTATTTCTTCTTTTTTATTTTCATTCTATTAAGAGGACGATTGGGTTTATAGCTACTCATGTATAATGAACCCTTGCTCATCTTGGGACAGCAGAAACAACCATAACTGTCCTATCACACCTTTCGAACCGAAAGTATTTTGAGCTAGACAGCAAATGGTATCATTAGCAGGGAGATTTTGAAAGTAACTATTCGATTTTTATATATTTTGTTTCAGGTGGAAAAGGCAGAGATGATGCCAAATATGATTGCTGCGGTAACGGGACTAATGTTTATCATGCCTGCTGTATATAGTGCATTTACCGAAGAACATTCCAAAACGATGCCGAAGGAAAACATTTTTGAATTCGCATCATCGCGTAACATGCTTGGAGTAGATTACGATGACAAAAGAGGGTTTTGGGACAAAAGAGGTTATGGTGATAAAAGGTCAGAGGCAATATCAGAGAAATCGTTACAAGATAAAGTTTGTGAACAATATCCCAGTATTTGTCTTTTAGGATTGATAGGACCAGACAAACTAACTCGTGACGCTCGTACTGGTAGCTTAATATTAACGAAACGTGGGTATGGCGACAAACAAAAAAGAGGTTTCTGGGATAAACGTGGATTTGGAAACAGAAGAGAAATAAATGACAAGCGGGTTAGACGAGTTTATCCCTTGATGTTACTTCCGAACACTGCTTAGATGCTTAACAAACACATATTATTGTCTCAAATAAATACACTAATTTTGGAATTCATGTGGATTTTATCTTTCTCGAAGAAGCCTGTTATCAGACCCTGACAACTAAGCCAGGGTCACAAGTCGATACAAGAATGATAAATTATAAATTTACTTTCTTTATTAGAAGAAATTGTCATCAATTGTAAATTATATGCTAAAAATATGTATGATACCGAAATAATGTCCTTCATAAAGGTATCATCAAATCCAAAAGTTTTGAAAGCCAACAATAGAAAAAAATTTAACAAGGTATAAAAGCCAAATGACCTTTACAATGCAGCCTTTAACTGTCTAAGGTCAATTTTGCCTCAGGTAGTTACAATGTTAAATTTTGAATAAATAGATATAAATCCAAACACAAACAATTAATATAAAAATATATGATTTTAATTGGTCTTGTACGAATCAGTGATAACTGGTTGTATGGTACTATTGGCGGCTGATATTCCAACATTAGAGATACTATTCAAGATACTGTGAAAATGTATGATTCAGATTTCCGCAAACTGAATCGTGTTTCTGGAATAAGCATCACAGTTAACATTCCAGTTAATCTTTAAGAATATAAAAACCGGCAAAACTGTGTTAAGTCTTTTTTGTCGAACGGAAAAAAATTACTACAACGGATTTTATAATAATTGTGTTTAAACCAAATGAAAACTGAAAACCTTCAGTTGATATATCTAATATTAAAGTTTGGGTGTAATTTGTGTAACAATTGTTATAATTAGATACCCCTGATTTATAATGCACTTTTAAAAAAGGGGGGTAGCAGCCTGTTTTGAAGTTTTGCATGCATCTAAAGCATGATGTATTGCATATGAATATCAAATAAATGATAAGTCACTTTTATAACTTTTTAATGAAGAAGATTAAGTTTGTAAATTTCGCAAACAGTTAAAAAAGAGTTTTACTTTAAAGTATGTCTTTAAACCCTGCTCCATGATTTTTATTAAAAAATTTATGAAGTTGATGCCACAGAAATTTCCGTTCTATTGAACTATTCCTAAGGGGTCCCGAAATTGTTTTTGAGTATAAATAGTTGAATCTTCCGAACAGTTTGACGGTTGGACAAAGTATGCGTAAAAGTTATGACTGCATTGTGCATCGAAATCTTATTTTTCAAGGTTTTGTTTTTATATATGACACATTTACTTGAATGATTTAAGCTATAAAAACTATATCGGCGACTCCATATAACTTTATTATCAATAAAAATAGAAAATTTAGTGGCATTGACATATCGTAGAGCAGGTGTTGTAAAAATGCAAATATTTTGCAATTTTTTAATTGGTATCGTTATGTTATATAACATATGTCGGACATTTGTTATTTTTGTTATTCTATCCAAGAGATAATCAGTTTGCTTTATTTTGGAAAGTATTAAAGTCAAATACTGGTACTTCATTTTATTATATTGATATACTTTAACAGTTCAACATGCTGTATATAGTTGCTTGCCAATTTTTATAAAAGCAATGAGAGTACTTTTTACTTTAAACGTAGCTTATCAAGTTCGTGAATGGTCCTCTATGTTATATGAAATAAGATGAAAGAGGCCATCAAGTTCGATGTATAGCCGCACGAGTAGGAAGTTTCAAAGTAACAATGAAGTCCTGTTTTGATAAATAATAAATCAGGGGCAACTATAGTTTACCAATGTTCAATCTCGTAAATCCAATAAATGAAAGCGTAAAGTCCAAAAGAAGCGAGACCTAGTGTGTCGACAGGACTGAGGTTTCCTACAAGGTATGCATCAGTCGCAATGGCTAATACAGTCTTGTTAAAATGTCACGACATGGAATAGAACACAGTCGGTAAATTTATAGATCAGATAACTATTCTGGTATCTTAAAATTAAAGACCGCGAAAAAATATCTCTAATAATTTGTGACACAGACACATTTTATCAATCAAATAATTCGTGATGATGGTCATAAAACTTTTCGATTTCAGTCGTTCTTTTTCAGAGCAGTTAAGGCGCTATAAACACTCCACAATGAAGTCCGTTTAATGTGAACATGAACGCGTGTCAAGCGTTAATAGAGATGTGTAAACGCCATAGGATTGGGAAAGGGGTATTTTCCTAATGCGAAATAGGAAGTTGACAATGTATCGTCACAGATTTCATATATCCTAGTTTGAAGTCGTCCATTTGTATCAATTTCAAGAAATAGTCTAATCTAAATATAAAGCACGAGTGTTGATTCATCTATTAAGTTTTTTTTTTAATTCCGATTGGTATTAACAATATTAAAACAATAATAAATTTGGAAAGAGTGTCTTCGTCTTTTTCACGTTTTTTGCCACTGTTCGACATAATCCTTGACTGAATCCTTTAATGTTTTAAAGTTTTCAGTTATAGAAATAAACTAATCATAGATACCAGGATTAAAGTTTTGTACGCGAGACGCGCTTTTCATCTACAAAAGACTCATCAGTGACGCTCGAATCAAAAAAGTTAAAAAGGCCAAATTAAGTACGAAGTTGAAGAGCATTGAGGACCCAAAAATTTCGAAATGTTTTGACAAATAAAGCTCACTGTATTTCGTTCCGTTTGCTAACACGTTTCGAACATAAGTGATATAACGACAGCTTATCGACATGGAAATTGATAACTGTGAATGACTAAATACCGAACATATAACAAAGGCACAGCATTACCTTAATTGTGCCAAACATAATTTAAAGTTCCAATATGTATCTTTTTGTGCGTTTTCTCTGTGATGAGTGTTCTTGCTTATGTTTGAACTGTATTTCTGTCACGTAGTGTTGTCATTTTAGCAATATTTTTTAACATTGCCATATAAGCGGGAGGTTTGGCTAGCCATAAAAACAGGTTTAACCCACCATTTTTTCTTTAAATGTCCTGTACCAAGTCAGGAATTTAGCAGTTGTTATCAAATAGTTCGTTTCTATGCATGTTGGCGTTTATTTTTGTTGCACTTATGTGTTCCTGTTGTTCTTTTGTTTTCCTCTTAAAGTTGATGTGTTTACCTCGGTTTTAGTTTGTAACCCGGGTTTGTTTTCTCTCAATCAATTTATGACTTTTGAACACCGGTATACTACTGTTGCCTTTATTTGTCCAGTCGTACAAATGTTTGCTCGTTTACACATATATAAATGTATAAAACATTCCTCATCACTTGTAAGGAATTGCATTCTAGATGCTCTTCTTAAATATTCTGCATCAGTTACCAAGCATATATAGATATTACCAGCTAGTGGGGCTGTCAGATTGGATGACAGGCATAGAGTTGGTTGCAAAGGAAAGGAACATCTATTTAAATGCGGCAACAGTGCTATAGTGATACGTGTCATAGCATTTGCAAGTAAAAAATTACTGTTTGCATAACGGTTCTCATTAAGAAAAAAGTAAAATCACAAAAATACTGAACTCCGAGGAAAATTCAAAAAGGAAAGTCCTTAATCAAATGGCAAAATCAAAAGTTCAAACACATCAAACGAAGGGATAACAACTGTCATATTCCTGACTTGGTACAGGCATTTTCTTATGTAGAAAATGGTGGATTGAACCTGGTTTTAAAGCTAGCTAAACCTCTCACTTGTATGACAGTCGCATCAAATTCAAAACAAAATTTCGAAATGTGTCCCGAATAACTATACATACCGGCTGGTTAGATGGATACTTGCAATGATAGCGATGAAATGATAATTTATGATAAGACAAGCATTTGATCCCTCAAGTTCGGAAAAGTAAAACAAAGACAAAGAGAAGAAATGGGAAGAATCGATAGCCAAAGAAGATTAACAACATGGCAAAAATAAAGTACATAAATGCATTATAAAATTAGTAGTATACAAAACGGTATATAGAAAAATTAAAACTATCAAACAAATTCAAATTGAAATTGAAACAACTCATGAGGAGAAATTCCTGCGTTCTGAAAAGGAATAGCAATTTTTACTCCATTAGTTTTATCCATAATATTTTTAGTGGCAAATAACAATTCGGTGATATTTCTTATACGGATTGTTGCTACAACAATAAAATATATTATACTAACGGATTTTTTTACCAAATCATGATTAATCTTCATATAATTGCTATTCATGCCTACCCATCATACTTCTTTCTGTTTTAAAAGATTCAATACCTGACTTACCTGAGGTAATTGAACATACCGGATTATTGACGTCACAAAGATTCGATTCCTTTAGGCAAGATTTGAAACCCATGATTGATTTTTTTTAAACTTTTTGGTTCGTGAAACATTTCTTTGAATCCTTACCCTGACTTAAATCAGTAAAAATGTTGCATTTCCATATTTCCAAGACCGAGCAATGAAAATCCGAATTTGGCCATAAGAAAGATGCAGGCAGGAAAACGTCAACGTGCTGTTGCTAGACAATTGCACGTCAGAAACTCATTTACAGTCTTTACAACAACGGTACAGGAAGACGGAATGTGTTAATGACCACCATGACCAGATCAACCTGTAGTGACAACATCATGTCGATGACATTTTATTACGCAACGTTATTTTTGGTACAGGTTAACGATTGCAACGTCATCTGCTTACCAAGTCGTCGGATGTCATGGCAGACAGATTCACGCCGTGAATGTTTCCCATATACTGAAATGCCATAGAGTCGACTGCAGAAAAAATATTTTAAGGCTATCAGTTTTAACCGCATAATTGCCAAAATATACTGTAATAGGTGAGAACG